TTGGTCTTCCTTGAAGTGAGGCCTTAATTTTTTTTTTTTATTGAACTTGTATTTTTATAAGGCCTTTTTTTATAGGACATAAAATATTTATAGATTTAATTTTTTTACATAGATTATTTACGGTATTTAAAAATTTTGGGTCTTCTTTAAAAATAGAACTTAAAACCCAGGCTTTTTTGATAACACTGTTGAGCCGCCCCTGTCACCCTATCAAGTATGGACTTTAACAGACTCTTTCTTGATCACCAGATTGCGTCTACGTGTCATCCTTAAATTTTATTATTTTTGAATGTAAACGCATGAAGATGATAAACATATTATATTTACATTTCTTGTAAAAGTTATTTGGATCTTTGTGTCGTGNGCAGACTCTTTCTTGATCACCAAATTAAGTCTACGTGTCATCCTTAAATTTTATTATTTTTGAATGTAAACGCATGAAGATGATAAACATATTATATTTACATTTCTTGTAAAAGTTATTTGGATCTTTGTGTCGTGGTAGTGGGTGGTTTTATGGTTCCCATTTGGATTGTTTATTATGTTGCATTTCTTTCAAATTTTGAATAATCTAGTTGTTTGATAATCATCTTGTGCGTACTAGATCTTGCACAATATAAACACGAGAACAGATCTCTACCTTGGTGAACTCGAGTGAGTCAGTCGAATGATCAACCCTACTGCTTGGAACAGTCTGTGAGATCCGGTGGTAACCTGAAACGGTAATGGGAGACCCTCGTGAATCAATGTAACGATCCAATAAGGCTGAGGAAGGTTCCTGAAACAAAGAAAAACAAGTTAGAAGGGCGCCAGAGTGTTTTTCGGCGTATCCCCTCCGACGATCAAGTCAGTTTTTGNAATCAATGTAACGATCCAGTAAGGCTGAGGAAGGTTCCTAGAACAAAGAAAAACAAGTTAGAAGGGCGCCGGAGTGTTTTTCGGCGTATCCTCTCCGACGATCAAGTCAGTTTTTGAGAGAAAGGAAAAATAAAACACTGAGTATATATTGTAGCAAAGGTTTTTCGTTGCATACCACCTTGCCTTTTGCGAGGAGTATTTATACCTCAAATACTCATGATTGCTGTCAGTGTGGTCAGTAGGTGATCATTAGATACAGGCAACGTGCGCACTGATTCCTACGAGGAATGTCTTCTCTTTTAACTGCTCGGGATCCCGAGCAACCAAGGCTGTGTCATCGACCTGCCGACTGTTCAATGAGCTCCTCTCGGGGAGGATGCAATAAATGTTCAACCTTAGAGACATTTATTGTCTTTCACTTATGAGCCTTACCGCATTGAATGTAGTCTCATCAAGGGAATGGTGTAATTAAATGCTGGCTTTCTCAAGTCGTGTGTCAGTAAAGGCATGCGGTCTTTCTATCTCTAATGTGACACAATATGTCACACGTCCATTCCCCATTGGCTGTGGCCGCTGCCTTCTTGTGCCTTCTAACACCAATTGTGTAAGACGAGGTCATGATAGCTAACCTAGCCTAGCCTAGACTAATGACCTGTACATCAGTAGCTCTGCAGGAGAAGAGAATGTCATCCTGGACGTTGGTACATATCGGTACCGAGGGGGATTGGTGCATCTCGGAGCCGAGAGGGGAGGTACATATAGCGACCGATGTACCCATATCAGACCGAGGGATACGTGTCGGTATGTAACCGTACTGGATGTCACTTGATCCCTATGACAAGTACCTCGGGGGAGAAGGACTTGTGAACCGATGGGTACGTGATCTCAGTAACAAGGATTAGTGACACCGACGACACGTGTCTTCATCTTAGAATATTTCAGAAATGTCCCATCAACTGCCCCCCAGCCTTCGATCTTCTGACACCGAGGACACCCGTTGTAAGGAGACGAAGGGTTTTGAAACAACCCCAACTGTTTCTTCATTGCCCCTAGCCGTTTTCCCCTGCTTAGGACGTCGTGCGCATTAAATGCGCCTTTTTTGTGCTTCGNCCGTTGTAAGGAGACGAAGGGTTTTGAAACAACCCCAACTGTTTCTTCATTGCCCCTAGCCGTTTTCCCCTGCTTAGGACGTCGTGCGCATTAAATGCGCCTTTTTTGTGCTTCGCGCCCAATGATGGGATTGGTACTCTATGTATTCTTTCAAGTATCCGTCTCGGACCAATCTTTCCAAGAACGATTTATATACCCTGCAGCTTCGGTGCGATGTCCGAAATCCCGGTGATAGGAACACCTAACCTTTTGATCACGGGTGGAGGGATTGCTCTGCATCCTGGGCGGCCACTTGAAGAACG